GCGCAGGAGGGGAAGACCCTCTATGAGATGGATTGATTCGGTGACTGGGGTAATCGGGATGGGTGTGTCAGAGGCAGTGCCATTGGCGCAGGATAGAGCAGGGTTTAGGGCTGTTGTGCATAGGGTCGCTATGAGTCGGAAACGACTCGACGGCACATAACAACAACATCAACAATCTACAAGGGAATTTATTTTATTGTTTTGTTCACTACTGTATTGTTAATACAAAGGTTCTCGGGTGGCACAGTTCAAAGGGATTTGTGTTGCTAACCCAATGTCATATCACTCTAGTGGTTCAAATTAACCAGTGACTCTACGCAAAAAAAGATGGGCAGTGTCTTCACATGCAATGCTCAGCCTTAGAAATCCAATGGAAGATTTTCTATGAATTTGTTTTGACTCAACATCCAATGAATTGAGTTTGTTTCTTAAAAACAAACAAACAGGCGTGGGTGACTCGGGCCTCACGCAGGGGCAGCAGGAAACAATAGAGGCCTCACGAGCAGAACGAGCGCCCGCCGCCTCCCTGCCCCTCCCGCAACGCTATATTCTGGGCTCTCTCCTGGCTCGCCTGCCCGCCTGTCCGCCATGGCCAACAAGGAAGCCTTTGATGACGCCGTGGAAGAACGTGTGATTAACGAGGAATACAAAATATGGAAAAAGAACACCCCGTTTCTTTATGATTTGGTGATGACCCACGCTCTGGAGTGGCCCAGCCTAACTGCACAGTGGCTTCCAGACGTAACCAGACCTGAAGGAAAAGATTTCAGCATTCATCGACTTGTTCTGGGAGCACACACATCAGATGAACAGAACCACCTTGTGATAGCCAGTGTGCAGCTTCCTAATGATGATGCTCAGTTTGATGCCTCCCCCTATGACAGTGAGAAAGGAGAATTTGGAGGTTTTGGCTCAGTCAGTGGGAAGATTGAAATAGAAATCAAGATCAACCATGAAGGAGAAGTAAACAGGGCTCGTTATATGCCCCAGAACCCTTGTATCATTGCAACTAAGACTCCATCCAGTGATGTTCTTGTTTTTGACTACACGAAACGCCCTTCTAAACCAGACCCTTCTGGAGAGTGTAACCCAGACTTGCGTCTCTGTGGACATCAGAAGGAAGGCTATGGACTTTCTTGGAACCCAAATCTCAGTGGGCACTTACTTAGTGCTTCAGATGATCATACCATCTGCCTATGGGATATCAGTGCTGTTCCAAAAGAAGGAAAGGTGGTAGATGCAAAGACCATCTTTACTGGACACACAGCCATAGTTGAAGATGTTTCCTGGCATCTGCTGCATGAATCTCTGTTTGGATCAGTTGCTGATGATCAGAAACTCATGATCTGGGATACTCGCTCGAACAACACGTCAAAACCAAGCCACTCAGTTGATGCTCACACTGCTGAAGTGAACTGCCTTTCTTTCAATCCTTACAGTGAATTCATTCTTGCAACAGGATCAGCTGACAAGACTGTTGCTTTGTGGGATCTGAGAAATCTGAAACTCAAGTTGCATTCCTTTGAATCACATAAGGATGAAATATTCCAGGTTCAGTGGTCACCTCACAATGAAACTATTTTGGCTTCCAGTGGTACTGATCGTAGACTGAATGTCTGGGATTTAAGTAAAATTGGAGAGGAACAGTCCCCAGAAGATGCAGAAGATGGACCACCAGAGTTACTGTTTATTCATGGTGGTCACACTGCCAAGATATCTGATTTCTCC